CCTCCCCCTCCTCCTCCTCCTCCTCCTCCTCCTCCTCCTCCTCCTCCTCCTCCTCCTTCTCGGCGGCACCTCGGGGAACACAACACGCAAACTTTCGGAGGTCCGCGCGGAGTGATCGGAGCGGCGCTCTAGGCCCCCCCTGTCGGCGCCGCCGGCGCAGCCCCTGGCGGGCTCCGCGCGCCAGCGAGGGGCTGCCAGCGCCGAGCCACGGAACCCGCGCGGGCCTCAAAGGGTTTAGGCTTATGCCATCGCCTGCTCCTCGATGCGGTGCTCGAGCTTTCCAGGCGGTGTCTCCGGTGGAGGCCCGCGTGGGGCTCCGCGAGCGCGGAGGTCGCGCACTGGGCAGCACGGTGCCGAAGGTGCCGAAGTACAGTCAGGCCGCATAGTAAGGAGGCACGTTGAGGAGGTAGGGGCCTGGGAAGGCAACGTTGACGTCTTTCGAGCGGGGCTTGCCAGCGAGAATCGCCAGGGACGGGCCGAAGGGGCAAGGATGCAGGGGCAGCCTTGGAAAATTGCTCATCCTTGCTATGCGGCTTGACTGTAGTCGATGTCCGACTCGATTTCTTACTCGAGATATAAAGAAAAGCTCGACAAAGAAAACTCTCTCGGGAACACCCGTGCACCGTGCTGAACTAGAGGCCTCCTAGATGGGGTCGGAGTAGATGGGGTCGGAGAATCGCGCCGCATCGGCGACAAGTCGGCGATGAATCGGCGATGCACCGGCGATGCACCGTCGAGGTCGGCGATGCATCGGCAACGGTGACGTGAAGCAAAGCGGGCTGCATATCGAGCCGCATCGGCGATGTATCGGCGATGCGGCGCGATCCTCCGACCCCATCTAGGAGGCCTAGAACCCGTGCGCCGTGCTGAACTTACTGGGCGGGCGACGGCAACTGGTCCTGAGTGGCACAGCTCCTGGAGTTTTTTTTCTCACCGCCGCGGGGGGCCCTCCCTGGGGCCCCCGGGGACCGCTCCGAGAACGGCTCGGCAGAGAGGCCCATTGAGACACAAACAGATTCGCAGAAATCCCCATACTTTTCCATGGTTCCTGGGCGTTCGTCTTCCCCCTCCACTTCCACCATTTTCCCACATTGTTCCATTTTGTCCAGGGGATCGAATTTTATTGGCGTCTGTGCTCACTCTGCCCTCCTATGTCGGGAGCGGCCAAGAGGGGTGCGTCCAAGAGGGGGGGGCGCAGATCATGGCCGGCGGCATGTGCGCGGCCCAGGGGGGGGGCCCTGGACGCATTGAAAGAAGAAGAGGCGCCATGAAATCTGGGGAGATATCATGGCCCCCGCCGTGATATCCCCCCCCCCTAGTCATCACCCCCCTCCTTGGCCGCCCCCGACCAAGTCAGGACGGGAGGCAAGTCTGGGATGGAGGGCCCCTGTGTCCGGGTCCCCGCTTCCCTCGGGACCCGCTGCCCTCCATGCCAACCTCAGGGCGAGACGCGTGCACAGGGGAGCAAACCATGACATGAAGATGAAACTCGGAGGTCCGCGCGAGTTCCTCGGATCGACGCTGGGGCCCCCGCTCCCTGGCGCGCGAGGCGCGTCGGGGGCGGCGCTGGAGGCGTCGCGACACCTTGTCGCGTCTTGCTCGGGAGGATTGGCGTGCCACTGCTCGAGGGAACACACCATGACATAAGCATAACCACTCGGACGGACGCGCGAATTCTTCGGATCGACGCGGGGCTCCCCAGGCGAGTCCCCAGACTATGTTTTTTGACAATTTTTGAACATCCCCCCTGTAGAGGGACAGGCCCGACTCGACATCATCAGTGCCCCTCACTCCTCTGAAGCCTTCCCCCTTCCCTCCCCCGCCCCACTGAAAGAACAGTGGCGAGCCTGAGCGACGTAGCTGCACGCCCCCGCGCAGATGCTCTGGATGTGGTGATGCTGGGCGGCGAGCGCCATCTCGCTGGCCGCAAGCGCCAGCACGGGCCACCAGCAGGCGAGCTCGCCTGGGAGCGAGAGGGGGGTGATGGGGGCCCTGGGACCTTCCAGGGGCCCCTCTGGGGAGCAGTGTCGGCGCCTTCGTGGGGAAGTCTTGAGAAGGCTCGGGGCTTCAAGGGACCTCCGTCGCCGTATTTGGGGACCTGAGAGCTTCGACCATCTAGAATGAGTTCGACCAGTGCGTCTCTACAATGGTTTCGACCATCTGACCCTCTCTGGGGCCTCTCCTAGTCACAGCTGGGTGCCTCTCTTGGAGCCTCTGGAGCCTCTCTGGCCTGGCCATTCTCGGGGTTCTGGTACACTTGCCGGGACACTCCTGTGATAGGCCGTCTCGGGCCAACCATCTTGGGCACATCTGGGTGCCCTTTGGGGCCGTGCTGTGGCCCTCCCTGGACCGTGTTGTGCCACACCGAGAACCATCCCGGGCGGTCCCTGAACCAACTTGGGCACAAGACCAAGGGAACCGTAAACACTGAAAACGCATGCTCCATACTCTCCATACTGTCCCCCAGAGAGGTACATCATCGGCCTGACCTAAGGAACGATAAATAAGGAACGAAGCCCCTTTTGTGGCTACCTACCTAACCACCCCAACCCAACCCGAAGACCCGAATTTGACCCGAATTTCGGGTTGGGGGGGGTACGGGTTCCATGTGTTTTATCAACGTTCCCCGACCCCCCCCCACTGGAAATGGAGGGCAAATTGAGGCCTTCGGGTTGGGTTGGGGTGGTTTGGTAGGTGGTGATTTTGTGCCCAAGGAATAACGCTTGAGGAACGGTAAATAATGTATAGCGCATAAGAAAGGACACATGGCATATGCAAACTTAAGGAACGACCGAGCCCCTCTTGAAAAGTAAGTGTTCCTTATTCAAGCCGCTCACTGTACTCGAAACAAGCGCGCGCTTCGCGCGCTTATAGGTTCTGGCCAGGCACAGGCTCAGGATTCGCAGTGGAACGAAACAAAGGGGAAGGCCAGCACGGAGGAGAAGGGAGGGACACGCAGGGCTAGGAGTGACGGGGAGGAGGAAACAAGGAGGCGGGGGGGGGCGGCGATCTGTCTGAGAGTCCTCGGGAACACTTTGGAGCTCCCTAGACGGCTTCTCGGGGCCCACGGGGGGGCCCGTCAGGTCGTCGACGGCGCGGCAGGAACGGCTTCGGGGTTGTCCAGAGCAGTCTGCGGGCCGTCCGGATGAGGTCGTCTAGACATTTCGGGTCGGGCGAAAGGGGGGGATAGCAGAGGGGGGGGTTTGAGAATCAGCTCACGTAGCTGGCTTTCCCGGCGCCTCTCGGCGCCGGAGGCGGCCATGTATCGAGGAATGGGCTCCTCGGCGAGGCCGAAACCAGCTGCATGCAGCAAATTTCGTAACCCCCCCTTTCCCAATCCCCCCCTTTCGTTCGGCCCGAGACATGACTTGCGGTTCTGGTCCCGTGGTGGGAGGGCGCTCAGGCTGTCTAGGCCTGCCACGGCCGGGAGCTGTTGCTTCGCGTGCCGCCCCGCTCCGCGGGCCGGGAAGCTCGGAGCGGCTCGGGACGTTGACGCCGGGGGGCCGCGATAGCGTGTCGCACCGAAGCGCGGTTGGCAAGAACCAGCGGAGCGACACGCTATTCGGAAGTTCTCGATCGTACATAGTCTCAGGCCGCTGTGGGGCCGTGCTGGACTCGCGTGGGGGCTGCAGCGGGCCTCGCTAGAGTGCTGCCTCGGGCGGCCCGAAAACTGTGCTGAACGCTCCACGGTCGCGGAATCGCCACCTTCGAACAAGCAATTGTAGACGCGTCGATTAGCTTGAGCCTCCTGGAAGACTCTGGGAATCCCTCGAAGGACCCGTTTGGAGTCTTCGCGCAATCTCGGGCGGTACATCCGTTGCGGGGGCAAACGTAGGGAATCTCTGGGGGAATCGGAATCGAGAGTCACTGGCCAGCGAACGAAGGGCGCTCCTAGCGCCGCCCTGACACATCTTGGGGCCATCTGCGTCTCCCGTCCCTGCCTACGGCGACCGCGGCCCGCATGAAGGGAAAAATAAGTGTCTGGGCTTCCCCTTTCCTTCATGATGCCTCCCCCCCTCTCTTGTCCGCTCCGCTTGCCTCCCCACAACGTTACGCTCCTATCCCAACCTTCCCTTCCCTCTCTAAGAGGAGTGCGTCATTACTCACCCTGGCATTCGAGTAAGCAAATGCACGCAGGCAGCGCGCAACCTATGGCGCAAACAATAGGAGGCCGCTGTATTCTCGGCGGCCGAACGCACAGCCTATGACGCAACCAGCAGGGAACATGTTTATCCTTGGCGGCCGAGCGCGCAACCTATGGCGCAACCATTAGGAGGCAGTTTTATTCTCGGCGGCCGAGTGCGCCCTATGGCGCAACCAAGAAGAAGCAGCAGCTTCAATCTCGGCGACCGAGCGCGCAACCCATGGCTAAACCACTAAGAGTCAACGGCCGAGCGCATTATATGCTCGGCGGCCGCCACCAATCGAAGGCCGTTACACACAGGTCAGCAATTGAGAACCCCCCTGGGTCAATCGATCGCACCGAAACGAAAATAATAGTTCGCGAGGGAAGATTGAGCAAATCGATATCGTTAGCACCGCAGAAAACCAAAAACATAAATTATCATTCCCAGCCCCCCGCGACGGAAATCTACATCCACCGCAAAAAAAATAAGCATTCCCCGCCCTCCACACCCGCGACTGACTTCTATAACGAGTAAGGATGACAGTGATGATAATGATACATACGTACTCCTAGGGCGTGCTAGAAACAATCTGATATAATGAGGAGGAGGAGCAGGGGTGAGGAATGATGATTGAGGAGTGAGGAGTATGGAATCCGGAGCGAGGAGCAAGGGCGAGGAGGAGTGATGGGTCCGTCCTCCGTCCGCCATCATCCGTCCTGCTACGGGGAACAGCGGATGGCGGACGGACTTCACACTCCCCACCCTCCTCGCATCCCACTGTTCATTCCTCACTCCTTACGCCTCCTCCTCCTCCCTCCTCCTCCTCCTCCTCCTCCTTCTCCTCCTCCTCCTCCTCATCCTCATCCTCGTCCTCCGCCCTCCCCACCCTCCCCCTCCTCCTCCTCGCCTTTCCTCCTCCGTCCTGCGCCCTCCTCCCTCCTGCCTCCTCCCCCCCCTCCCTGAGGAGGAGTGAAGCATGCGGCGCGAGGAGGAAGAGGGGGAGGGAGGGGGAGAAGGTGGGGGCACGGGGGAAGGGGGGGGGATGGAACGAGGAGAGAGGGGGCGGTGGAGCATTGGAATGATGGATTAAGTGTTGAAATGTTTGGTTTCTTTGTTTGTTTGTTGTTGTTTCCCTGTGTTTTTTGTTTTTATCGGCCGTCGGTCTTTTTTGTTTTTGTTTGTGTGTTTGTCCATTGTTCTTTGTTTTGAACCCCTTCCTCCCCCGTCCACAATGAAGCAACATGAATACTACTCTCCTCTCTCCCTTGGTGGCGTCCGGGACATGGCCGGCCCCCCTCCGCGTACTGGTTTCTTGCGCACAAGATTTCCGGGAAACGGGTTTTCGCTTGGGTTGTTTTCAACATGCTGCTCTCGCTGACGCACTGGCCTCATTTTCGGGTTACCGCTCGTTCCGAATCGTGCTTCCACTGCAACGCTGGCCTCATTTCCGCGCTTCCGCTCGTTCCGAATCGTGCTCCCGCTGCAGCGCTGGCGTCATTATTTCCACCGCCATGCCAAGGCATGGTTTTCGGTCCTTCCAAATCGGCCCCAAACTCTAAAAAATGGCCTCCCGAAAAAACCATCGGAAGTGATTCCACATTGGGTGTCGACTCGTTGATTTTTTGGGCCGCAGAAGCTCCTCCTCCCACTTTGGGGCGTCGCCAAACCATGCTATGTCTGGCTACGCGTCCTCCTCTCCGCGTTTCCGCGATTGTTTTTGTTTCACAATGCTGCTCTCGTCGAAGCGCGGGCCTCTTTTGCGAACTACCGCTCGTTCAGAATCGTGCTCCCGCTGCAGCGCTGGCCTCCTTTCCGCGCTTCCGCTCGTTCCGAATCGTGCTCACGCTGCAGCGCAGGCGTCATTATTTCCAGTGCTATGCCACAGCATAATTTTCGGCCCTTCCAAATGGCATCAACATTTTAAAAATGGTCCCCTGGAACAATCACACATTCGGTGCCGATTTGTTATTTTTGGGGCCGCATTTGGGGCGTCGCCCCACCATCCTATGTCTGGCTACGCGTTCTCATTTCCGCGCTTCCGCGCTTGTTGTTTTTTCGGAATGCCGCTCTCGCTCCAGCGAAGACCTCATTTTCGGGCTACCGCTCGTTCCGAATCATGGTCCCGCTGCAGCGCTGGTCTCATTTCCGCGTTTCCGCTCGTTCCGAATCGTGCTCACGCTGCAGCGCAGGCGTCAGTATTTCCAGTGCCATGCCACAACATAGTTTTCGGGCCTTCCAAACCGGCCCCAACATCAAAACAAAAGGCCTCCCGAACAAACCATTGGAAGCCACTGCGAATTCGGTACCGACCCTTTGATTTCATAGGCCGCAGAAGCTCCTCCCCCCATGCTGGGGCGTCTCCACGCACGCCATGTTATGTCATGTTGCGCGTTCGTTAACCTCCAACACCATGCTACGCCATGTGATGCTACGCCGTGCTACGGCATCCGATTGTGCGAATAGAGAGAGGGAGATCTACGCCATGCTCCCGCTGCAGCGTTGGCGTAACTATGTCGAATGCCATACTACGGCATGGTTTTCGGTCCTTCCAAATTGCTTCAACATTTAGACAATGGTGCATTCGGTGCCGATTCGTTGGTTTCTTAGGCCGCAGAAGCGCTCCCACTTTGGGGCGTCGCCACGCCATGCTATGTCAAGTCACGCGTTCTCAATTCCGCGCGTCCGCGTGTTTTCTGTTCGTCGTTTTTGTACTTTTTTTTTTCTCCCCCCTCCGATATGCTGCTCTCGCTGAAGCGCTGGCCTCATTTTCGGGCTAACGCTTGTTCCAATACGCGTTCCCGTTGCAGCGCTGGCTTATTTCCGCGTTTCCGCTCGT